AATAATTATCCCTGAAGCATGATACAGGTAATTGGGGAGGGTTGATAACAAACGGAATAGTCAGGTAACCAATGGAGAGCATCCAAAGAAACTGGAATAGAACAGGTGAAGAGTGGAACAATAAGTTGGAATGGGTGATAGACATCTCAATGGTGTGTTAGAGAAATCCAGATAACTGTAAGCAAATCAAGCATATCATCACGTACACACTACTATTTTTCACTTTTTATACAAACCTTAAAAGACTGAAAAAACCACCTAACTGAATTTCAAATAAACAGTGCCACTCAATTAGTGAACTTGATACATTGTTAGTTGGACATTGTAACAATGTATAAATACCCTGCAGCCAGGCTCCATGTATTGTGACAGGCAAATATACATGAATCTCTGAGTAAATAAATCAGAACACAAATTCCATGGCTTATGCTTTCGCTGATAAACTACTGTAAATGCAGATATTATTCACTGGGTTTTAATTTCGTTATTTTCCCTGATAAGAAAAAAAAGCTACAGTAAATTTACAAGAACATGTCAAATATACACTGATTAGTACACATTGTTTTACTGGCAAATTCATGAACTCAAAACCTGATTAATATATAATTTTGACTTTGAATGCCAGTGAAAATAAAAATGTTTACAGCTTTTTATTTTTTCAAATTAAGTTTAACAAAAACGGTACAATGATTTTGCAAATTTGTATGTACTATTCTATAATTTCTTTGTTAATTTGAGCCAAATGACCATAATTTCTCATTTTAATTATACCTTACACAATGGTGTAAATCTATAGGGAAAATTAAAAATATCAGTTTTCATAGGGGAGAAAACCCATAAATTTATGACACAAACCACTTCATGTACAGTAAATTTTAACTTAAAAATTGTATATATTTGATTAAGTCCATATTTACTCGAAGTGGACTAATATGGGTGATCCTATAATTAATTAATTAATTAATTAATTAATTAATGTTTAATTTAATTTATTAATTCTTAACACAGGAATGTCATAATGATATTTGTGACAATTAGTTGTCACAAACACCATTATATTATAAAATTTCTGGTAATGAATATTTATTGTATTTAAATTTAAAACCAGTTTATAGTGTACAGAGGCACATCACTGATCACAATCTTTTCAACTGTTTTTGTATATGTCTAGTGTGGTGGTGTATGCCCTTGCAGGTCTTTGTCTAATCAGGGCAAGTACAGATATCCAATCACAGTGGAGACAAACCCCCACTTTCATCAGATGGAATCATGGGAATCTGATACAGCAATTTAAGTGATATTTGGATAGAAAATAAGAAAGTGGTAAATGTCAACTGAGCTGTTGGAAAGTAATAAAACTTGTCATGTTTAAAAGGAATGAGGTAGTCTAATTCAGCTGAATTATGGGAGGGTGATATAACCCACCCATTTAGGAGGAATAAGGTAAAGGGAAGACAACTAAAGGTAACAATGTCATATTTCAGAGGTATAAGCTAAACATGAAAATTTGAACAAAGAATATTAACAAAACAAGGCATGTCAGCAATACCTCCATTCAATTATAAACACATGTAGATATACTGAGCTACTGAGTATACACCAGTCACATGTGCACACACTCAGGCTGCCATAGTAGAAGCTTAGTCAGAATTTGGGACATAAATATCAGTCACATGTCCACACACTTAGGCTGCCATAGTAGAAGCTTAGTCAGAATTTGGGACATAAATATCAGGCACATGTTCATTCACTTTACAAAACCATGGTAGAAGTATGTAAGCAACTGGACAAATAACAGTCATCTTCATCCACTTTAAAAAGCCATAATAGAAACTACAGTCAGCATTGGGAAATAACAGTCACATCTCCAGTCACTATACACAACCTCAGCCATATAAGCTGCAGTCAACAGCTGGACATAGAACAATCACTAATTCATACAAAGCTAGTAAGTCAGCAACTGGATTGTTTCAAAAGACAACTCCATTACATCTCTATGCATATAGTCACAGTGGTATGAGACATACAAGACATATAACACTAAACAGTCTGGTTATATGACAAGCAGCCTATAGGTTGAGATAGCTCTGCTGTTAGCAATGCACATTTCAATTAAAGAACTGAAGACATCATTAGAAAATGAACAATATGTATAGTATCAAAGCAATCGGACTTACAGTTTTTAACAAGAAGTCGAAAATATCACTTTTTACTAAAAATTACAAAAATATTCACCAAAATTAGAGAATTGAAGATACCATCACAAAATGAACAAATCTGAGAGAGGTCCACATGTAGTACCTATATATGTAATATCAAAGCAATCAGACTATTGGTTTTTTACAAGAAGTCGAAAATATCACTTTTTACCAAAAATGACAAAAATATTCACCAAAATTATAGAATCGAAGATACCATCACGAAATGAACAAATCTGAGAAAGGTCTACATGTAGTATCTAAATATGTAATATCAAAGCAATTGAACTATTGGTTTTTAACAAGAAGTCGAAAATATCACTTTTTACCAAAAATTACAAAAATATTTACCAAAATTAGAGAATTGAAGATATCAACATGAAATGAACAAACCTAAGAGAGGTCTACCCAAGGTACATATACACCAAGTATCAAAGCATTCAGGCTTGTAGTTTTTAAGAAGAAGTCGAAAAAGTAAAACATTGACACGGACGACGGACGACAAACGACGACGACAGACGACGACGGACAATCACTCATATGATAAGCTACGCTCGACAAAGTCGACAGCGGAGCTAAAAAGAAGTCACCAGTAATGCACTCTATGACATATGGTAATTTAAAAGCTTGGGACACCAGAGGAAGCTTAAGATCAAAGTTGAGGACTGCAGTGTTTCTTACTTGAGAGTGCTATCTTTCTCTTATAGTAATACATACACTATTACCGGTAATTATTCTACCATACCTAGTGAATTACAGGTAAAAATAACACAAAAACTTTCACCATGAGAAAGGACGGCAGTTTATTTATTTGCGAATATTTGCAAGGATTTAATTTCACAATTCATACTAAATTAATAAAGATTTCTAGAGTATACAGTAGTAGTACTTCAGTAACATATAACTGCATAGTAATGGGTAGTCCTACTGAAATATTTCAAGGTCCCGTACTTTATCGGCTTAACAGTTTCATGCGAGACTCCTGTGTTAGTGCTTCATACAACGATTCACGAGTCCCATACTTTGGCGACGTCTGAGACCATACAAATTGAATCTTTGTATAAAGTGCCACCACTTTCCCTGATAGCGAACTTGTTTTTATCTTGTAAGTTGTCCGATCTTTCTGTTTATACCTTGATTGCTCAACACATTGAGGCCAATAGCTATCAGCCCAGTTAATGGAGGCTATCAAAAACCATACACGTATTAAATTCAGAGTAATTTGTATTTCAGTAATTCTTCACCCATCCATTGCTTTTCATGATAACAATAAATCTAAGTTGTTGAGAAAACAGATTCAGGACTGATACCAACCATGGAGTGAAATAAAAAACACCTCATTATCTGGGCAAAATAGCTCTGCAATTGCTAGGATAGAATAGGAGCAATTACGGCATTGAGAAAGATAAGGGATCGTCCAATGGTAGCTATGTAATTACTCAAGATTGGCAGAACTTAATTATATACTGTGCACAAGAAAGCATCCACAATGGTACAAAACTTCACTCTGGTCTAAACGTTTATTTTTTAAAAAATTCAATCAAAAATACTTGACCCTATAGAATATACTAAAGGTTTATATTATAAAGATTTCTTCTGCAAAATTTAACTGATTGTCCCTCATTTTAAAATGAAAACTCCCACAATAAAATGGAATAATCCCAAACCATTTAAAAACAGCACACCTATGAATGAATCCACTAATTATTGAGGGGTGGTGTATTGGTTGTTATAGGAGGGTGAGGCAGGATTTGTCTAAGAATTGCTTCACAAAGAATAAAACTACTCAAACTCTGAAAAAAATATTGTTCAGATGGACAAAATGTTTAAGTAATTAACTTGTGGTGTTTTGTTTGGAGATGATACGTGTTATGTGGATGATTCAGTCCATAATGTTACACGTACCAATGAACAATTATTTCTGGTGATAACCCCATACTATTACTTCTCTCATTTAACAACTGATGCACACAAGTTTCCTGTCGTCTTACAAAAGAGCCCCCACCACCACCACCACCATCACCACCACCACCTTTACAGACCATTCAATGCTTCACATTTCCTTGGAAAAGCAGCCTATTTTGAGACTCATAGTTGCTATTTTCAGAAATGGTACAAATACTTTTGAAAATCTTTGCAAAATACCGTGAATTCCCACAATAAACTTTACTGTAAAGCATCAAAATGCCTTGACATGCCTTTTCCTTATTTTAGGGCTAGGGAAGTATGTGTACCCCCCCCCCCACTTAAACCTATGAATGTCATTATTTCTCCCGCCAACATTTGAGTGCAACAGCTGGCACATTTTTCTAAAATAAAATTTTTTAATTTGTGACCAAAATGAATAATATCCAGTTCTAGACATTATTTTAGTTTTATTTTGTGGAAGGTGTCAACAATTCTCAGATGAACCATGGATGCACACAGTCGTTTTTCAGAACTGAAGTTGAACGGAGAGAAGATGTTTAAAGTTCACTACAAGGTGGCATTATCAGAGTGACATTTATGAGACAGTAATGTAGTAAACCATTTGACAGTTTTATGATCTAAATCACATTCAAGAACTGCAATGGATACATTATTCTACAACATCAGTATTACCCATGATGCAACAATCATTATCTCCTACTTAAACATATTTCAACAAATTTAATATAGTAACACTCAAACTCAAAGTTTTTAACAACTTCACACGTCGTCACAAATCTGACTGATTGATTTAAAGACGGGCAGTTGCCCAAAGTCGGATTTTTTGGAGTATGTGAAAATTAATGGGTTTATAGTTTGTGTGTGGGTACTTACGATAAGCACAGCCTGACTCGCCGTTTAGCTGTGACCACCCGTGACAGCATCTGTACGTTGTTTGATAAGTCTCCTGATATACCGTCCTGTAAGTTGTATAGTACGCCGTTCTAGAAAATAATCACAATGATTTATTTAGGGCTATTGTGTTAACTCACCCTGGGGAGGACATTTTATTGTCATCCCAATTGCCTAGCGCCCTGCGTATGTACATGTACCCTCCCCCAGAATAAGAGGTTATTCAAATAAAACAACCATGTCTACATGGTGGAGCTTGGTTTCAATTTTACACAAAGCTCAAGAGATTTTATCAGGGGGGGGGGGGTGTAATATATCCAGGGGGTAGACCATACAACATATGTGCATGTCAAAATCTAAGCTCAAAATATTTTATCTAAAAGTATTCAGAGACAACTTTATTTTTATTTGTTATTATTAATTTTATTTTTTTAGTAAAAAAATCACTATTTCGATAAGAAATTCATAAAACACCAGAAGTAAATTTTAAGTAAGATTTATCACACAAATTTTTCATAAAAAGTATTCAGTTTGCTGCTAAAAATTGCACAGGTACAAGCGCCATTCTTGACACAGCTGGTACAGTTCGAAATGTTGACTTACACCACTTACGGACTTCTACAGCTAAAATAAAGCAACGACAGAATATGATAAAAATCCGGATTCGGCCATTCACAAACAGCTCGAGATGGCGAGATAAGGTACAAACAAACCACTCCAAAATTTGAAAGTGAGAACAAAATAAATGTTTGCGTTTACCTTCGTTCGTAGCCGACACACCATTCTTGTTGATTGTACCCGCAGTTGTTTTTCCAAACTTTAACCCATTTGGTGAAATCCCGCACGCACGGCTGGCGATGGCCCACCAGTTGAACTTCTTGGTATGGACAAACGTTGCGCCTGCAACGACAATAATATTTAACACTTAAAATCCGCCAAATAATTCGACTTCATAAATAGGCTAAGACTTCACAAACAAAATATAAACGAACACAATACATTTTTAATACGTGAAGACACTTTTGAATTGAGTTGGGCGGTCTCTGGTCGGAGCTGAGCTTCTCACTAGTATGTGTGCCGGCACAGTAGGAAGTCGCCGGGGAAGGTAGCCGTATTGTTAATCGCTTCAACTTTTAGACAACGCTTTACTTGGCCGTTTTTTTTTACTCTGAACATCAGTGCATAGCATGTATTGTAAGGAAAGTTTGTTTAAAAAAAAAAAAAGATACACAGCGAAAGGACTTTAGAGAATACTCACATGCCGGGGTGCAATTCGCCAGTGCGTCCCATTTTAATAAAAAGTATCAAAAGTCCAACAACAAGTAACAGTTTGGATAGAAACGTTTTTCCACTAGGTATAAGATCCATGGTAGTGCTTTCACCCAAACAGTCCTCGAAAGTTCTTCAGTTCCTAGTAATTTCTTCTCACAAAATTGTTTTAGATTCCGTCACGTTTTGGACAACCTCACAGCGAATATAGAATCAGTGTCAATTGTACGTTGCTGGGTAGCCTATAGTAGATAACAGTGAAATCCTTTGCACTGGGTTGAATGATCAAACTATTGGACCCATAGGTTAACAAAATGGTCTCGATTTCTTCAAGCGAGGCGCTGTGCCCGTAATGTGACCGACTACTGTAGCTGTGTATACCGATAAACAAAAATGCGTAGACTTTTAAAAAAGTCAGCTCGTTTTGACTCAGTCAGTCAGTCATTTGACGTCCCCAAACGTCTCTAAACTTCTGAAAAATATCGCCTGCTATAATCTACGTTAACTATTATCGGTGCTGGCAGGATCGAGTGGATAGTAGAGAAATCGGCGACGAGGACTTACGCTCGAAGTTGGGTGAATGTTTTGAACACCTCACTAGTAAGTGCGTACTTTAGAACGAAATAAAACAACTCCGACTGCGCTGAGCTGAATCGTACGCATTCAGGGTCGATCAACAGAGCGCTGACTGCAGGTCAAAATAGTGGTGTGTTTTTTAGATCGAGGCTCTGGTAAGTGTGAGGTTCCGCTCGTTTAGTGGTATCTATTGACAAGTTTATTGGACTACGCTTAATTCTATCGGCGATCTAACCCATGGGCGGGGGGCGGAGCATTCCACAAGACGGCGGCAAGTTTCTGAGTTTCTGAGGGGGCGTCCCATAAAAAATACACGAGCGTCGCCGGTAATACTGATGGGCCATTCATATATTTTTGCAGCTCCTTACGAAAATACAAACTACTGTAAACAGACGTATTTACAAGTTGGGATGGCATGATTGGAATCACTAGTAGGCATTACACCGTGCTATATTACGTTATTGTCGCGGCTTATAAATATTTTTAGCGTGTTTTTATATTATTAGCGAATAGCATCATGATATTTTCTCACGATAATATAATTCTGTATTTTATTTAAAACATTAATATTTATTGCACTTTCGGTTTTAAATATTTAAAGTGAAATTTCGTACACTTCCATTTCCCTTCTTATTAGTATATATTTTGTTTGTTTTCTTTTTAATTTATATATATATTAAAACAAAACAAATAAAATATATGTGCATATATATATAATTGTATGTGATCGCTCACCCGTAAAAATACTAAATCCTGCAACTAACAATCGGGGCCGATATACTCTCAATACTTGGACCAAAAATCCTAGATTCTCAACAAATTAGCAATATGTAGGGATTCAGAATGGAAATTTCACCATACTATTCGCCATATAAAGAACCCATAGAATGTTATTCCATTCGACACAAATCACATCATATATCCAATGTTATTCACCGCGTGAGGGCGCAATCGTAAAATTTATCACTGACGTGATCTCAAAAAAAATAATGTACTTGTTGATTTCTAGTTTCCTGTACTTGTGATGACAAGGAAATGGTGTAATCGTCGCAATCATGACCTATTATCGGGGTATCGGAAACCTGGTATAATTAGAATTCGTTCAACTATTTGTGATATTTGTTTATATTTTTCGACTTCCATCTAGACGACATATTCGAATGTTGTGTTTTTATTGTAACATTGATCGGTGATATCTCATGAGATATATGGATCACCTCGATTGCAATCAGTCAGATTGAGGGAACCACTAAGCGTCATAATATGTATGGCTAGATGAACATCAACGCAACTTACTAGTTTATCGAAATTGTTAATCTCGTCTTTTTAAGATCTCAACTCGAAGATTGAAATATAAACCACTATTATTTCACAGTTTCTTGCATGCATGGCATCCAAAAGCACTACACACATTTCACGAAATCGCTGTGCCATCCCGCTGTTACTTGTTTTCAAGCGTTTTAATTTCGTCTGTAGCGTAAAGCGGCTGAAGTACATGATTTGAATATAGAGTATATTCATTTATTATGTCTAATAAGCAATTGATACATATTCTATGTTGTGATTCAGAGCACACGCGAACATTTCGCAACACCGACTTTTATTGCTATTACATATGATACGTGACGTCACCACTAGGCGTTCAAGTTCTACATTTTATTTCAACGGGGAATTTCACTAATAGGTCACTACTATTTATGATCTCACCGTGAAATCTCAAAATTTGCCCGGCAACTGAAAAAAAAATCATATTTAGTTATAAGATGGACTTGAATTATGGATGATTAATTTTTTTCTGAAATAATGCTTAAATATACATGTTTATGGAAATTGTGTCCAAATTAAGCGTTAGGTAGCATTCTTGACACACAGATAATTATAATTTATCCTACTTAAAGAGGTCGGATTGCCGCCGATAACAGTCTAAAAGCCGAATAGGAAATAAAACACAAACTAATAAATAATTTCAGTGGTGCCCCTTAACTCCATGGCGGTATCTCAAGTGTTGGCTTTTCCTGTGAAATTGTGTATCGAAAGAGAAAACCTTTAGTCGGCGATTACATTTTTTATGACCATATAAGTGGTTTCGTATCTGTAGACGCAGCAAATCAATTAATTAAATCAATCGATAACTTTATAATCAATTATAACGATAATATTGAAAATATTCAAACTGCAGAGTGTAGCATATGTGATAAATCGATCTTCTATAAATAACTGAATGCGACCTGGTTCCTATGTATGTGTATATGTCTTTCAGTATACTCTGTTTATTTTGTCTGTCCGTAATATGGCCTGTAAACATGGAGCTACGCAATGCCACCAAGATCACTCAGTCCATTTCAGTTTCCGGTCTCTTCCTCGCATAGTGGACGCACATAGCTTTAAAAATGTAATAATTGGAGTAATTAACATTCCTATTAATTAACATAGTTGTCTCGTATTGAAAATGTGCAGTCCCCGAGAGCTCGCTATAGTCACATTATTATTGGCGGTGATTATCATTAATTTGGTCTGCGCTCCTTCCTGTTCGACACAATGCAGCCAGGAAACCGTGGTGTTTCAAGTGGCCGACTGACAAATAGTTATATATGAACGTAACGTACCTTATTTTCTGTATTTGGCACTTATGTTTGCATGACATCATTAGTGGCACCCCGATTTATGACATCACGTCAGTCAATGTGTGTAAAGTTTGCATTTTTAGAGCGCGGATTTTTCCGACAGTCTAAACAATGCTGTAGGATAAATCGAAACCGTCTACGTCCAACTTCACCATATTACGATTTCCCACCGAGTACTGAGTTCAGCAGCAGTCAAGGTTGTTGGATGCCTTGATACCCCGGGTAACTGTCAATAATGAGTTTCTTGTAGGAGGAGTAGCATACACCGCTCTGTGGTGCGGTGTTTGTTATAGATATGCTTTCTCGTTCTTAAAGATTGTGTCTGATCAGGCACGTTTATACATAAATCGACCTACCGCTAGTTGCCTTAAATCTACCAACGTGGTACTGAAAACACATTTATATTCACTAGTTTGATATTAGATAGTACATTCACTAGATTTTTTATTCACAATTTCACAAAGCAATGAGTTATATTGGTATTATTGTTTCAGATATAATTTATCAGCGAAAAAGCGGAAATAAAATTCAGAAAATTATTAATGCATTTACAGTACATCACTAATTTTATGCACCCGTAATCGTATATAGGACGGAATATTGGATGTGAGTAGAACAACAATCCCACGATATTTCCCGTGTTTTAAGTCAAAATGATATCACAATTGTCAAGTTGAGTCACTTTGTTGACTGGTGGAGAAAAGTCTTCAAGATCAATATAATATTGTATAAATAAGATTGCATACTGAATATTAGTGACTTCTGAAAGCAAATACTACAATGTCATGGCCCCTGATTATCTTTGTTTTTTACACTTACTTTGTTTATTAAAATGAAAATTTCATTTAAGCAGATCACAAAATTGTTTTACTTCTTGAAGTTTTTTTCAAGATCATTACTATACTGTATGATTTATTTGTTGCGTCATTGACGCGCCAGAGAATGAGCATAATTAGTTGTGTCTTTGACCACCAGGGAATGAGCATAAATACTTGCGTCATTGACGCGCCAGGGAATGGGCATAATTACTTGCGTCATTGACGCGCCAGGGAATGGGTATAATTAGTAGCACCGTTAATGTTAAAGGGAATGAGGATAATTAGTTGCGTCATTGATGTGCCAGGGAATGAGCATAGTTAGTTGCGTCATAAAAAATCTCTGCGCGTCAGTCACGCGCGTATCTTTTTAAAGAGAGAATATTGTTTACGTCAATGACTGGGATATGTCACTAATATGTGCAGCCAACTTCAAAACGTCACAGGAGTCGAGAATAAAATGCGAACATACCCTCGTAACCTAAACTGGCAAAGTATGTCATGATGGGTCACCCACCATGGAGAGTACACAGCCCGGGCCACGTGGCCCAAAACTGTATGCCCAACCTTTGAATTTAGTTTAGGTACGTTTTGTGTAATGTAAAGTAACTACACTTTTCACTTAATAGTGACAAGAAATACTCTAAACAACGGTCACCTGAAAATGTTGAAACCAAGTGATGGACGCGATAAAAGAATGAGGCGCGCGGTACGACGTTTTTGATATTTTTTCCAAAGAACTTATACTTCGAAACGCGTGCGTCCAGGCATAAATAAATAAATATTTACCCATATTGTGCTATAATAACGCGTTTTTTCTTCAAAGGTTGTGAATCCGACCTGAAGTCGAGTACGGACTGAATTTGCAGCCATATTCACAGTACAACTTGAATAAGATTGTTCTACTATGCTATGATCGGAAGAATACACCTGTATGTTAATGTATACCTTGCGCAATATTCAGTTGTCGTTTTTTTTTTTTTACGAAAATTAAACAAAATGTGAAATAGATAAATGTTGTAAAATACAACAATAGACAATGAATGTTCCCACGATAGCTTCTTCTTCAGTTTAAAGGCCCGTGTTTCGTAATGTGAGGCACGGAAGTACCTTCCACCACAACCATGTGTAACGTGGCCAAATCATAGTACAAATCCGGGAATGACATGAACGTAAACCGCATTTAACTGTCAAGCCCGGATATTGTGAGCGAAGTGATTGTTATCTTGACACCAAAAATCCCTCGATATACTATTGCTTTAAAGATTTCATTTCCTATACCA